TTCCAGACACAGGTTCTGGTAGAGGCCACTGTTCCTTTTCTGAGCCCTCCTCCCACAGAGCCAACAGGTGGGTGCCATGTCTGAGATTCCATCAGCCTGGCTCACACTGTTCACTTCTACATGGAGGTTTCCCTAAGGCCCACACAAGCTGTTTGCAGTGGCTCTTCCATACCAGTGAACTCTGTCCTGGCTCAGGCTTCAGACTCAACTAAAACCCCTCAAAAAAGCAGCATTTGATCTCAGTATGCCACGGGCTTCTTGCTAAATGACCACAGGCCTGGCACTAGCAGCAGGCAGCTTTGGTTCACAGCTTGGCTTCTCCTGAGCACGTCCAAGCCAAGCACCAGGAGCAGCCATCTGCAGATCACTTTTTAGCTCATGCCAAATGGCCCCAGACAGAACACAGGGTGGCCTGGATACCCTAGGAGGCCCCAGACCCAGCGCACTCAGCGGACAGCTTCAGACCACATTGAAACCCTCAACCACCTCCACAAGCAACACGTTCAAGGGGCAGACTCAGCGGGCACCCGAGCCCTGCTGAACTAAGTCCTGCTCGGGGGTGGCCCGCACAGCTGGTCCTGTGATCTGTGGTCACTGGTATCGGCCAGTCCTTGCAGCCCATCGGTCTAAGGGTAAATCCCTGCCATTAATGTGCCAACAGCAATCCAGGTTCAACTACAACGGGAGGGTGTACACAGCCCATGGGGTTGGAGGGAGGGTCAGGGTGCACCTGGAGTGCCCAGCTTGGATGATTGGGGAGGCTGTGCTGCAGGACGCTATATTAGGTCGCTACCAAGCCTGGGAGAGGTAGCAGCTCTAACTAATACATAGAAACGAACACAGGGAGGCTGCCAAAATGAGGATGCAAGGAAACATGTCACAAATAAAACAGAGCAAATCTCCAGGAGAAAAACTAGAAAAGATAAGACAAGTAACCTACTAGATGCAGAGTTCAGAACACTGGTTATAAGGTTGCTCAATGAACTCACAAGTTTAACAGTATTTAAAAAAACAAACAAAAAAACAAATGAAGGAGGCACCAACTGAAATGAAGAATAACTTACAGGGAGTCAACAGTAAAGCAGATAAAGCTGAGAACCAAATCAGCGATTTGGAATATGAGGAAGCAAAAAACTCCCAATCAGAAGAGGAAAAAGAGAAAAAAAATCCAAAAACATGAAGATAGTGTAAGGAGCCTCTGGGACAACTTCAAGCATACCAATATTTGCTTGAAGGGGGTGCTGGAAGGAGAGGAGAGGGAGCAAGAAATTGAAAACCTATTTGCAAAAAATAATGACAGAAAACTTCCCCTACTTGGTAAAGAAAATAGACTTACAAGTCTAGGAAGTGGAGTCCCAAACAAGATGAACCCAAAGAGACCCAAACCAAGACACATCGGAATTTAAAGGCCAAAGTTAAAGAGAGAATCTGAAAAGCACCAAGAAGAACGCTTTTAGTTACCTACAAGGGAGCTCCCATAACACTGTCAGCTGATTTCTCAACAGAAACTTTGCAGGCCAGAGGGAGTGGCAAGAAATATCCAAAGTGATGAATAGCAAGGGCCTACAACCAAGATTACTCTACCCAGCAAAGCTGTCATTTAGAATCAAAGAACAGATAAAGAGCTTCACATACAAGAAAAATCTAGCCCTCACTGGTTTGGCTTGGTGGATAGAGTGTTGGCTTGCTGACTGAAGGGTCCCAGGTTTGATTCTGGTCAAGGGCATGTACCTTGGTTGTGGGCACATCCCCAGTAGGGGGTGTGCAGGAGGCAGATGATTGATATTTCTCATCGATATTTCTCTCTCCCTTCCTCTCTGTAAAAAATAAAATACATATTTTTTTTATAAAAGAAAAAGCTAAAGGAGTTCACCACCACCAAACCAGTATAGTGTGAAATGTTAAAGGGTCTTGAAGAAGAAAAAAACTGATTTTAAAAATATGGACAATAAAATGGCAATAAATACATATCGATCAACAATTGAATCTAAACACACAACAAAATAAATGAACAAGCAGAACAGAAACACAATGATAGATACGGAGAACAGTTTGTCACGATGGGCCGAGGTCCCGGTGAAAAAGGTGAAAGGATTGAGATGTACGTGGCTGTTACAGAATAGTCCCTGGAAGTAACGTCCACACAGGGAATATAGTCAATAATATTGTAGTAATTGTGTGTGGTGTCAAATGGGTATGTGCTTTATCGAGATGATCACTTAGTTATGTGATGTCTAATCACTGGGTGTACACCGAAAGCTAGTATTATCAGCGGCAATGGGAAATAAAAAGTGTTCTTCTCCCCTAGGAGAAGTACCCAGCGGCTGTGCAGCTCCCAGAGGGGGCCTCCTCCAGCTGCATGAGCATCCGGAGCGCCAGCCAGCCAGGGTGAGTGCAGAGCCGGGGGCTCGGGCTCCCTGCTCGCCAAGTCCCTTCCCAGCACCAGATGGTTATTTCCTGGTGAGGACGAGGATTACAGATGTAGAGGACCGAAGCAAGCTGCCTGGCACTTTGAGAAATGTCTGTGCCCTAACAGGTGCACACCCGCTGATGGCGCCGAAGAGGGGCAGGCGGGTGGAGAGGGGTTGGGACAGGGAGTGTGTGCACTGCTGGGCCCTTAGGGGACCAAGGGAGATGGCCAGGGGTCAGCAAGCTCCGAGGGAGGGAGGACATCTGACCTCTGCTCTGCTGGGCGCGGGATCTGCCAGGGTGGGAGGGCCTGCTGACTGGCATGAGTGCCTGCTGAGGTTTGGCTTTGTTTTCAAGCCTAAAAATGGTGTCACAATTATGCAGGCTTCTGGGACGCACCCTGAAGTAAGGAAATGTGTCCATCCCTCCCGTCTGGTGGTGCCTGTGGCTGTAGACCACTTGAGCTTGTACTCTGCTGGGCAAATGTATGCATTCCCAGGTCCCAGAGCTTTCCACCCTGTCTAGCCTGTCCATGTCCCCGGCCAGGGAGACACGGCTTCCCTGGGCCTGTGCCCAGACCTGCGGTCCTTGGGCCATAGCGTACCCTCGACTGTTACACCAGATTCTTTTCAACGCAGTTCATCGCTTGTTTCCCACAGGAAAGTGTAAGTTCCTGCTGCTCTACGGCCTGTACTTCATTGTATCGTCACCCTAGTATTAGTGACAAAGAGCACCGCCCAGGCCTCCTGGCCATGGCCCAGCTTGCCCAGGACTGACCCTGCGGGGCTGGGTGTGTCAGAGGGGCCAGCTAAGCTCAGCCAGGGCAGCGCCTGCCGGGGGCGGGCTCCCCCTTCAGCCCCGGCACAGTCTTGCTTCAAGGCACGGGGCGGCTCTGTCTCTTTCAGGTTTGAACTTGTCATCGTTTGGCGGATGCACATAGATGAGGAAGGGCAGGTCCTGCCGCAGCTGGATCTTCTCACCCAGGTGCCACAGCGAGGTAGGCAGCAGCGGGCTCTGCGGTCTTCGTGCCAACAGGGACGTCCACTCATTTCACTGGTTCACGTGGCAACAATCAAAGTGGGAAGCTCAGAGTACTTTTTGTGTGTCTTAAAAACATTCCGATCAGTAATCACTCCCAAAGCACGGGGGCTGCGTGCACAGTGTGGGGAGGGAGGGGTGTCTGCGGGGAGCGGGCGGTCTCAGCCGGTGTGTCTGACCAGCGTGTCCTCCCGCAGCCCTGGAGCTGGACCAGGAGGGAGCGGTGGCAGCAGCCCCTCGCAGCTTCCGGGCCCTGCTGGGCGCGCTGGGCATCGAGGCGGCGCTGGAGAGCCTGCTGCGGCTGCTCTGCGCGGAGGAGCCCGCTGCCCGCGCAGCAGGGCCGGGGCCGGCGGCCCCTGAATAGAGAACTGGCTACACCCTTCCACGTGTCTGTGCAGCTGAGACACGTGACCTGTCAGCTGCGGGGACATGAGAAGCACATACAGCTGTTTAAACACAAAACGCAAAGACGGACACACCAGGAGCAGCTCCCCCCCCCCCCCCGACCTCACACGCACTCCTCTGACCCACAGCCGTGAGTCTGCCTTCACCCTGCAGTGGGACAGCCAGTGACCCCCACAGGCCCATCCCACCCGAGCCCCAGCTCCAGGAAGGCCCAGCGGGTGGAGCCTGAAGCTGGGCCCACACTAACGGAAGAGGGCAGCACTTGAGTCTCTCCGACCCTGAGGACAGAAGATATAAATGTTATGACAGAATTCAAGAATAAATTCTAGAAAAACTGGCGTAATTCAAACAAGTGTAATTCTCAAGTTATCACAAAATTTCCCCACAAAAATTTACAATCAGCAAAATATTCTTATTTTTCATGTAACATTTTCATATAATTCCACAGTTTCACCAACATTACAATATATTACAATAAGCCTTTATTAATCCCTCAAAACGACGATATAAATAATCTTATCTGTACAACCGACATGGAGTGAATCTGCCATCAGGACTCGCGTGTTCACAGCAGCCTGGCGCGTGGGTTCCCCACCAGGAGCCGGGGGCCCGCAGGTGGCAGCGCCGAGGTGCCCAGCACCACGCGAGGCGGGGAGGCCAGGCAGAGGCCGGGGCGGCACCACTCGGGAAAGGAAAGGGGTCGGTGCTCGCACGATGGAGTCTGCCCGACCCGCGTCCCGTGGCCCTGCTGCTCCCGCACACAATGGTGGCGTCTGCGCTGGGCCCTCACCTGCAGGAGCCACGGCCTGTGCGGGCTGGCGGTGGCTGGCCACTCGGCTGGGGAGGTCCCAGTGGGATCCCTGAAGGCCAGATGTAAGCCACACGACGGTCCGTGTCCGTGTGCTAGGAGTCCGGTGGTAGGAGCTCCACGCCTTCCGTGGGCCTTGCGATCAGGCGTTTGCGTTAAGAGATTAGACGTGAGTGTGGGCAGGGAGGAAGCTGCCCGAGGCGCCAGGGCAGTGCACAGCCCGGCCCTCCTGCCTGTCCCAGCAGCAGCCCGAGCAGTGGTTAGAAGCAGCAAGTCACAGCCAGCGCCGCCCGGAGCGCTGCCCGACCCTCGCCCCCGCCGGGCTCGGCCCTCAGGGAAGTCAGACCTTGCGGAGGACGAGCGTGCAGTCCTCGCTCTCCTTGAGCCGGGCGGCCGCGGCGGCGTCGTGGGCGCGCACCGCCTTCGAGTAGTAGCTGGCAATCTTGCCGTCCAGCCTGTACTGGTGCGGGATGCTCTCGTAGGGCTTGAGGTCAAGGTCCAGCACAGACACGGAGAAGGCAAACCTGGATCGTGATGCAGGGACCACCGGCCTCTGGTCAGAGCTGAAAATAAAAGGCAGTTTCAGCGCTCGCAGCCCTCCTTGCTCTCAGACAGCACCCGTTCTGGCCTGCACGCACCGCCTGTCTGGGCACAGCGCTCGGAGCTTCTGCGGTGAGCCTTGCCAGTGCGGGTAAGAAAGGGTTACTGAGCAGGAAGAGGGAAAACAAGCTACGAGGACGTTTGTGACATTCCCTGTATCCCAGTGGCAGCAGCGAAGGCTGGGCCAACTATGACCAAACCTAAGAGAGCAGGAGGTCTGGCCACTCAACAGCCAAGCGGGCGAGAACATGCTGGGAGCAGACTCCCGACACGTCCCCTGCACATTTATTCTCCACTCCATCTGCAGGTTTTTGTGTTTTGTCTCTTAGTGCTTAGTTTTTCTAAATGTCAGCAGCTGTGGACTCTGTGGACAATGACTTGTACTTGACCCCGAAGCCAAGTCTGCACTTGGAGCGCGGGCTGCTGTGGAGCACGCAGGGCAGTGGGCAGCAAGGGGACTGGCGAGCGTGAGACGAGTTCCTGCGGCCGAGGGGGTCGGCAGGAGCCTGCTCTCCCCAGCCGAACCACTGGTTAGAGATCACCTCACACCAGTCAGCCTATGAGCCAGGAGGGCCCGGGAGCGGGCTCCCTCCCCAGTGGGGACATGCAGGAGGCAACCAATCAATGATTCTCTCTCATCACTGATGTTCTCTCTCTCCCTCTCTGAAATCAATAAATACATATTTATATATTAAAAAGTAATAAAAGTAGCATCTTAAAAAACAATTCAAACAAAACAGCCATTTCAAAGGCTCTGCCTGAGCAGGAAGCAGCGAGCAGGCTCCTGCGCAACCAGTGCTGATGGGCCTGCTCGAGAGCTAACTGACAGGACAGCGACCTGGGCTCGGGTGGGTTCTTAGCAACCCTCAACCCCCAACAGCAGGGAACACGTCTGCACGTTGAGGGCCTGCTTCCGTCTCCTCGCAGGGGCTCAATCCCCAGCTCAGTCAGCTGAGCCTGGGCAGAGCTACACAATTTCAAGGACACCTCCATCTCCCTTCAGAGCAGCACCAAGATGAGGGAGCATCACCAGCGCTGGGAGCACGGGAGTAGGGCCCCTTGGGAAAACTCGGACCCTTTGTCAGCCAGGTCTACCGGCTCCTGACACCTAACCCTGGCCGCCCTGGGCTGAGACTGTCACCCACATTCCAGAACTTTGTGGACACGTGACCTGGCTCCTGCCTGTGAGTTCTTGGGAAGGTGAATGCTGTTCCCCGATGCCCCTGCGTCCAGCAGGCAAGAGCGTAGCTCTCTGGTTTCCTCTCCTGCAGCACCAGCTGATCCAGCCAATGAGTCCTCGTCGCTAAGCCTTCGGCCTCTTCTTTGGGGAATGGTGGTTTCCAACCAAACAGAACCCCCTTTTCCGTATTTGGGTTTTACCCTAGAAATGTCCCTCATGTTTCCTGATCAGGAGATGGACAGCTCGGTGCCTCCTGGGGTGTTAGGTCAAAGGCAGAAAGTGGGCGGCGGCAGACAGTGCCAGGGCGCCCGGACCCAGGGGCCAGAGCGGATGTTCCTGGGCGGTGCCATCTGTGACTAAGAGAAGGCCGATCCCGAATTCCTAAACGAGGCCGGAGGACACAGGTGACGGCAGGCACAGACGGAAGCAGCTGCCTGCGTGCAGGTCGCTGGACGGAGGCCAGACTGCCGCCGGGCAACAGCTCTCGGGCCTGGGCCGTGGCAGCAGCACCGGCTTAGAGAAAGGAATCTGCATGCAGTATTCAGGCTGCCTCTACGCCCTTAGAGTATTTTCTTAGAAAGTAGTATAATAGCCTTCAGTTTAATAGAACAAGCTTTTTAAAAATACATATATTTTATTGTTTTTTTGCAGAGAGGAAGGGAGAGAGATATTAGAAACATCGATGAGAGAGAAACATCGACCAGCTGCCTCCTGCACAGCTCCCACGGGATGTGCCCGCAACCAAGGTACATGCCCCTGACCAGAATCAAACCCGGGACTTTTCAGTCCCCAGGCTGATGCTCTACCACTGAGCCAAACCAGTTTCAGCTAATAGAACAATCTTTTTAAATTATTCTCCATGTCTTTCTATATCGAATTATAACTTCTGTTTTAAGTGTGGGAAAACCAACTCTTCTCAACCCACAGATCCCGCCAGGCCAAAGCGTCAGGCGGCTGGCCTCACCTGGCGTCCTGCAGACAGGGCGAGAGCGCGATCATGATGGAGCAGTCCTTCGCCGTCATGGCCACCCGGTACTGCTGCACCTGCGGACAAAGAGGTCAGCTCGCACCCCTCCTCCGGGAGGCGGGGTGAGGGGGTGAGGATATGCGGGCTGAGGGGTGAGGGGAGAGGACGTGCGGGGTGAGGTGGAGGAGTGGCGGCGTGAGGGCGCACCTTGCTCTCCCCGTGAAACTTCAACAAGCTCGCCAGCAAGGAGAGCCCGCTCCTCACAGGCCCGGGAACAGCCCGGTGGGCGCCGGGGGAGGAAGCCGGGGGGAGGAGGAGCGGAGCTGCTGGGTGGGAAGGGCAGCCCAGCAGGGCGAGTGGCGAGGACAGTAACGGTGACGGGGCCAGCAGACGCCCGACAGAGCAAGGCTTCTGCCCTGCGCACCCCACTGCGGGGCCAGCAGTGGCGTTTCTGACAAAGAAACAGAACTTCAGAGCCCTGCCGCCCGGCTTGGACTCCCCAAACTCGCCTCCCTGGCCCAGGCGGGGTCCAGGAGCAAAGAGCTACTGCAGTAGAACTGGTTTCACTGTGGCTGACTCCCAAGGGGGGTGCTGGGCATGGGGCCCCATGAGGTCAGGGGTTGCCATTAAGTGAGGGCAACACAGACCCTTCCCCCACGCAGCACAGCTGTGCTGTCTTACATAAGCCTGTAAGCCTCGGAGGTTCACATCTGGGAGACTACGGAGGCAAAAAATCTGGCGATGCGGCGCCATCTACTGGAAGACAGTAGAAAACCTTCTGAGGCAACTGCGGAAGCAAAGGACGCAAACACCATGGAGAGCCACAGCACAAGAGGGACCAGGTTCAGTCCCTGATTGCCTCGAGGGGAAGGGATTTGTAGGGGAGGGTGGGGAAGGGTAAGATATTTTAGGTTGCGCATGCATATAAACACAACCAATGGACACAGACACTGGGGGAGTAGGGGAGGGGAGAGGTGTCAGTGGGAGGGGAAGAAAAAGAGACATATGTACTACTCTTTGTAATATCTTAAACAATGAAATGTTTTTAAAAAAGAGTGACCAGAAAGAAAAGGAAGCTGCAGGCCAAGCACCCCGCCCCCCGCCCCTGCCAGCAGCAGGGCCCTGGCATAGAATGAAATAGTGGACTTACACTTTGAGTACTACTGGACTGTGACTGGGGCCAACTGCTGATGTCAACTAGAAAAAGCTGGACAAAATATCAAAAACATATGCTGGAAAGACTGGGGAGGGAGAAGCACTGGCCCAGGAGACACAAACACATCTCGGTATTTTGTGCCCACAAAGGGGAAAAGGGACAATTTTGGAAGATTGGCCAATGGGCGCTTTTAACCAATCTCCAGAGCTCTGTGAACAATAAGCATGATGAACCCCCTCTCTGAGTTAGTTCCCAAAATGCTGCATCATTTTTTAAAAAAAGTGTGTATTTAATTGTCTACGGCATTACAAATAGTAGTACATATGTCTCCTTTTCCCCCATACTGACCTCCCCCAGGCCTCCGCACACCCAGTGTCTTATGTCTGTTGGTTGTGCTTCTATGCACCCATGCAAGTCCTTTGGTGGATCTCTTACCACCTCCCACCTTCTCCCTGTAGTTTGACAGTCTGTTCGATGCTTCTTTGCCTCTATCTATTTTTGTTCAACAGTTTATAATGTTCTGTATTATCCACAAATAAGAGAGATCATGTGGTATTTTTATTTATTTAAAAAATATTTTATTGATTTTTTACAGAGAGGAAGGGAGAGGGATAGAGAGTTAGGAACATCGATGAGAGAGAAACATCCATCAGCTGCCTCCTGCACACCCCCTACTGCACACCCCCGCATACCCCCTCCTGCACACCCCTGCAACCAAGGTACATGCCCTTGATCGGAATCGAACCTGGGACCCTTGAGTCTGCAGACCGACCCTTTATCCACTGAGCCAAACCAGTTAGAGCTCATGTGGTATTTTTCTTTCATTGACTGGCTTATTTCATTTAACATACGGTAATGCTCTCCAGTTCCATCCATGCTGTTGCAAATGGTAAGAATTCCTTCTTCTTCTTTTTTTTTTTTTTTACAGCAGTGTAGTATTCCATTGTATTCCATTGTGTAGATGTACCACTGTTTTCTGATCTATTCATTTGTTGATGGACATTTAGGCTGTTTCCAAATCTTAGCTAAGGTAATTGTGCTGCTAGGAACATAGGGGTGCTTATATCCTTCCTGATTGGTGTTTCAGGTTTCTTGGCATATATTCCTAGAAGTGGGATTACTGGATCAAATGGCAGTTCCATTTTTAATTTTTTAAGGAAATGCCATACTATTTTCCATAATGGTTGCACCGGACTGCATTCCCACCAGCAGTGTACTAGGGTTCCTTTTTCTCCGCATCCTCACCAGCACTTGTTTGTAGATTTGTTGATGATAGCCATTCTGACAGGTGTGAGGTGTTACTTCATTGTTGTTTTGATTTGCATGCCTCGGAAGACTAGTGACTTTGAGCATGTTTTCATGTCTCTTGGCTTTTTGAATGTCCTCTTTCGAAAAGTGTCTATTTAGGTCCTTTGTCCGTTTTTGATGGTATCGTTTATCTTCCTTTTGTTAAGGTGTATGAGTTCCCTGTAAATGTTGGAGATTAAACCCTTATCAGTGATAATATTAGCAAATATGTTCTCCCATACAGTGGGCTTTCTTGTTGTTTTATTGATGGTTTCTTTTGCTGTGCAGTAGCTTTTTAAAAAACAAAACAAAACATATTTTATTTATTTTTTACAGAGAGGAAGAGAGAGAGAGAGTTAGAAACATCGATCAGCTGCCTCCTGCACACCTCCTACTGGGGATGTGCCTGCAATCAAGGTACATGTCCTTGACCGGAATCGAACCTGGGACCCTTTAGTCCACAGGCTAACGCTCTATCCACTGAGCCAAATGGCTAGGGCTGTGCAGAAGCTTTTTATTTTGATGCAGTCCCATTTATTTTTCTCTTTAGTTTCCATTACCCTAGGAGCTGTATCGGTAAAGATATTGCTATGACAAATATCTGCTATTTTGCTGACTAAGGCTTCTTCTAAGGTGTTTATGGTTTCCCATTTAACATTTAAGTCCTTTATCCATTTTGAGTTTATTTTTGTCTATGGTGTAAGTTGGTGGTCTAGATTCATTTTTTTGCAAGTATTTGTCCAGTTTTCCCAACACGATTTATTGAAGAGACTCTCTTGTCTCCATTGTATGCTCTTATCTCTTTTGTCAAATATTTATTGAGCATAATGGCTTGGTTCTATTTCTGGGTTCTCTGTTCTGTTCCATTGGTCTATATGTCTGTACTTATGTCAGTACCAGGCAGTTTTGAGAACAGTGGCTTTGTGACCCCTCCAACATTGTTCTCTCTCAAGATTGCTGCAGCTATTCTGGGTATTTTATTCCAGATGAATTTTTGGAGAATTTATTCTAGGTCTTTGAAGTATGCTATTGGTATTTCAATGGGGATTGCATTGAATCTATAGATTGCTTTGGGTAGTATGGACATTTAAATGATGTTTATTCTACCAATCTATGAACATGGTATATTCTTCCATCTATTTATATCTTCCTCTATCTCTTTTTTTAGCATCCTAAAATTTTCTGAGTACAGGTCCTTTGTCTCCTTGGTAAAGTTTATTCCTAGGTATCTTAATTTTTTGTTGCAATGGCAAATGGGATTGCTTTTTAAATTTCTCTGTGAGTTCATTATTGGTGTACAGAAAAGCCATAGACTTCTGGGTGTTAATATAGTATCCTACTACATTGCCAAATTTATTTATTAACTCTAGTTTTTTTTATGGAGATTTTGGGGTTTTGTATGTACAATATTATGTCATCTGTGGGTAAGGACAGTTTTACTTATTTTCCAATTTGGATGCCTTTTTTTTCTTCTTCTTGTCTGATCACAATAGCTGTACTTCCAGTACTATGTCAAACAAGAGTGGTGAGAATGGGCACCTCTGTCTTGTTCCTCTTCTTTGGGGAAATGTTTTTAGTTTTTGCTCATTGAATATGATGTTGGCTGTGGGTTTGTCATATATGGCTTTTATTTTGTTGAGGTATGATCCTTCTATTCCCACTTTGCTGAGAGTTTTTATCAAGAAAGGGTATTGGATTTTATCAAATGCTTTTTCTGTAACAATGGATATGATTATATGGGTTTTATCTCTAAATCTGTTTATGTGGTATATCACATTTCTTGATTTGCAGATATTGTACCATCCTTGCATCCCCAGAATCAATCCATTTGGTTATGGCGAATGATCTTTCTAATGTAATTCTGTATTCAATTTGTGAGAATTTTGAGGATTTTGGCGTCTATGTTCATGAGGGATATTGGCCTGTAATTGATTCTCTTTCTTTGTTTTGTCCTTATCTACTTTTGGGGTTGGGGTAATGCTAGTAGCTTCATAGAAAGAGCTTGGAAGTGCTCCTTCCTCTTGAATTTTTTGGAATAGTCTGAGGAAGATAAGTTTTATTTTTTCTTTGAATGTTTGATAAAATTCCCCTGTGAAGCAAGCCATCTGGTCCAGGGCTTTGTTTGCTGGAAGTTTTTTAATTACTGCTTCAATTTCCTCCATAATTATCAGCCTGTTCAGATTTCTTGATTCCTCCTGGTTGAGTTTTGGAAGTTTGTGTTTTCCTAGGAATGTGTCCATTTCTTTTAGGTTAACCAGTTTGTTGAAGTAGAATTGCTCATAGTATTTCTAATTTTTTTTTTTTTTAACAATTCTTCATATTTCTATGGGGTCTGTTACTTTACCTCTTTAATTTCTGATTTTATTTGGGTCATCTCTCTCTGCTTCTTGATGAGCGTGGCTAGAGGAAGGATCATCAATCTTGTTTATCTTTTCAAAGAACCAGCTCTTGGTTTTGTTGATCTTTTGTTTTTTGTTTTTTTTTGGTCTCTGTCATTTATTTCTTATCTTTATTATTTCCTTCCTTCTGCTCATACTGGGCCTTTCTTGTTGCTATCTTTCTAATTCTTCAAGTTGCAAAGTTAGATGGTTTATTACCAGTTTTTCTTGTGTATATGTGTTTGAGCTAGGCTTG